CCATGCTGGCCTCAAATTTATGGTGATCCTCCTGTTTCAGCCTCCCAAGTGCTGTGAAAATGTAATTTTTTTATTAAGAACATTTTAAAGTCATTAAAGTATCCATTATAGCAGCTTACTGTAACCAAAAAATAAACATTGAAATCCCTTAATCACGGTTATTTTTATTGCTGGTGGGTCTTCCTAATTAGATACAGATCTGAAATATACTAGCTTTTTTGAAAAAAGTGTGCACATTTTCAGGCATCAATCAAGCTGTGTTTTTTACAGAACTCAGGCATCTCTGGTGGTATTCTAAGGTTACTGTGTCTGACACCTGGTAGTTTAAGATCTAAAAATTTCTCATAACAAGGTCTTAATACCTATTTTGCGGATGAAGAACTGAAAGAGAAAAATGTATAATTGTCAAGACACATTGTAAGGTCAAGCTTATACTAGACAGTCTTTTTTTAACACTAATTTGAGAACAAAGTAAAATATTTGAAGGATTATAAAAATATCATTTCATATTTTAGGTCAACGTGAGATAAATTCTAAACCCTGAGACTCATAAAAGAGTAAGCCAAATCACTGTAGTATATATCCAAATATTTAAGGGTCTACTCTGTGCTAAGCACCAGGTTCGCACTACGAGCAATACAATACAAGCCAAAACAAACATGGCTCCTTTCTTAAGAAACTTAGAGTGCTGTACAGGAGAAAGGCATTCAAATACTTAACACAAATAAGTGAGATAAATGCCACAAAGGAAGATACATGGTTTACATTAGAACCTTTAAATAAACGGAAGGGCTACTAGGAAAGTGTTCTCTGAGGAAATGAAGTAGAGAGGACTTGCAGCAGAAAGTGTGAGGAATTGAATAAGAACTGATTTGACTGGAGTGCAGGAAGTGGCATACAAAATGAGACATCAGGCAAAAAGACAGGGGCTCTTAAAGAGTATACAGAGCCTAATGAGCCATGGTAGAAATTGATTTTGTATCTTTAAAGCACTAAGAAGCCATTGAATGACTTATGAACAATATGTCCTGATTCCATTTACATCTTAAAATGGTCAATCTGTTGGAAGGAGAGTGAAATATAAGGAGGTTAGTAGAGACTGCTTGTTGTACCCCAATGCCTATTCTCTTCTATAGTAATAAATAACCATTTTTAGCTGGATACATGGCTCCATAGAATGAAGCATACATTTTCATTCTTCCTTTGTAGCTAGGTAGGGCTTTGTAACTAAGGTCTAATCAGTGGGAGTAAGTAAATATGATATACACAATTTCTGAACCACTCTCTCAAAGATTAGGAGGGAATGCTCCCTTCTCATTCTCCCCTTTTTGTTATCTAGAATGTGCACATAATGGTGAGACATCTTGTCTCATGCATAGAACAATATCATAGGACTGGCAGAGCCACCAGCAAGTAGGAGCCTAGGTCCCTTGAGTTATGGAGCTACCATGTCAGCTTTGTACTTCTTCTTATTTTGGCTGTTACATGTGAAAAAATTAACTGCTGTCTTATTTAAGCCACCACTTAACAGAAAGAAATAAAATTTGTATCCTTCTGGGCTGGGGATAGCTTGGTGATTCTGCTGCCTGCCTCCCAAGAGCGAAGTCCCGAGTTCGATCCCTGGTACCAAAAAAATTTTAAAAACTTGTATCCTTCCAATGCAGGATGCAAAATTAAAAACAAGGAGACCATCTAAGTGACAAGTGAGCAAGAGAGGTGAATATACTCAATATAAATTTTGCAGATAACATCAAAATACAGATTTTATTTATAAGTACCTATATTAAGGTACTATATTAAGGTACCTATATTTATAAGTACTTATATTAAGGTATTGAGGTATATTAAGTACCTATATTAAGGTATTTATAGGTACCTATATTAAGGTATATTAAGTGGGAATAATCAGAAAAGTACCATATAGTAATATCAAATGTTTGAAACTCTACTATGTAGCAATGGTTCTCAAACATGGTATATTGGTATCACCTGAGAAGTTTTAAAAATTACTATGCCTGTAACTCAACCATGAGTCTTTGGCATACAACTAAGGATCATAATAACTAAAAGCTCCCCAGATGATTTTAATGTGAGGACAAGTTTAAGAGTCATTGGTATATAGTACTGTTTCAAGCATTTGTTGAGTTTTTTATTACAGCTCAAGCTTTTCACAATTCTTTGAACTTAACTCTGATTTGGGTGCTGTAGTTTCATATACTCACACAAGCAACTTTATCATGAATTATGATGGGAAGGAAAAATTAGAAATTGATAATTTCCAAACAACTTTAATTTGCATAGAGTTCTAGCATATGAGATCTGGGTAAGACCTTATAGATAAATCCTAGTCCACCTTCTTTTATTTTAGAAGTAAAGAAAAAAGAGCTAGAGAGGTTTTTGTTTTTGTAAGTATGTAATAGTTGTTGAGAATCATTACTTGTGGAAAGTTTTGATTGGTAAGGTACTTCACAAATGTTCACAATACCACTTAAAGTACAACTACAAAAACAAAAACAAACAAACAAATATTCTGGGCCAGGGATTTAGCTTAGTGGTGCCACCGCCTGCTTCACAAGCGCAAGGTCCTGAGTTCGATCCCCGGTGCGGTGCCAAAAAATAAATAAATAAAGAAGAAATAAATTACAACTAAACACTAAAACTTTTTTGGGGGGATGGGGACTGAACCCAGAGTTTTTGCACTGAGCTATATCCCAGCCCTTTTATAAATTTTTATTTTGAGACACAGTCTCTCTAAGTCACCGAGGCTGGGCTCAAACTTGGGATCATCCTGCCTTAGCTTTCCAAAGTGCTGGGTTTACATACCTGTACTACCTTTATATATTGGATGTTGAAGCACAATAAGAATGAAATAAAATGACAGCAAGAACATTGGTTATCATATAAAGTCATGCACTTCAACCTGCAGAGCAATTTAACCGAATAGGTTAGTAAAGTTCTCTTTAATACACTGGCACTGCTCCAAAGTGTTATGGGAAATTTTTAAGGAATATGATGATGGAAAAAATATAATGTGAAGATTTTTTAACAAAATCTGACTTCTATTCAATTTAGCTAACTTCTCACTAATTTTTTTATTAATACATGTTTGCTGTTCATAATGATCACATTCATCATGGGAGATTTGCACATGTACCTAACACATCGTAATTTTTTGTTGCCTTTCTCTTCCCTCCATCCATGAACAAGTTCTTCCTGTGTCCTAATAGCTATCCTCCATTTTGCTCTCTAATCAGTTTTTAACAAAGATAGGTGAAGGTGGCATTTATCAATTAGCTTTACCAGTGGCAAAGGCTGTGTGGATTATGGGCATCCCTAAGAACAAAAACTACCAAGCTTGTGACTACAACACTGAGTTTACTATCTTGTGAGAAGATTTTCCTTTAGGAGCAATTTAACAACTAGTACAAATGGTTAAATCAAATTTTGAGGACTTCACTAATTATATTTTGAATGTTGATGTTGGATTTATCACAGATGACTGTCCATCAATAATCAGTAAGTTGGTGCGCTGACAGTAATATTTGTAAAAACAGTATCATTTCTACTTTCAGTCTGATGATTTTCTTTAACACATTAAAATAGTATTTCAAATAGCAAAATGAAAACCTATTTGTGTTTACTATTAAATAGACCACAAACTAATATATAAGACCTTTAAACTTTCAATTCAATTACATGAATTATTAAATGATTACTATGTGCACAGTTTTACTAATACCAAGGACTGCAAAGAGATATACAGATAAATAGTTGGAGCTATGATATGACAGAAAGGCTTATATTTGTATTTTGCATCTGTTAGGATTTATTCAGCAGGTTGTACTGTTAATTCCCAGAACTTCTTACCTGTGCTTGGTGATATTAACTGTAAATTCCCACCTGCAGGCTTCATTGCTACGTTAATATCTCAGATACATAAGAACAGATGAGTAAGGGGAAGAACCAACTTCAGTCATCATTTCTAACAGTGTTTCCTATTCACTCTTGTCCTATCCTCTTGACTGTGGTAGTCTTCCTGATTCAAGAATACTTACCTTGCCAAGGATTTAGTTCAAAATCACAAGGTCCTGAGTTCAGTCCCTGGTACTGAAAACAACAACAACAAACTGCTATAGGAATACTTGCCTTGGACTATGGACTACCACAGTTAACTTGCTTGCCTTCCTTTTAACCTGGTGATTTTCTTCCTCTCTGATAACCTGATGCCTCTTTGTCTAGATTGCTGACGCTTGGCCCAGTGAGATTCTTGTTATCTACATTTGTCTTGTCTGTTCATCTGTTCCTTCAGCCACCCTTAGCACACATTGCACCCTCCCTATCCCAGCAAATTGCCCGGAGTAGTTGACCCTCTAGCAATGTGTAACCAACTGCTTTTAGTTTTTAATGTACATCTGATTTAAAAACAGAGCTTAAAATGAAAAAACCAATGAAATAAAGCTCTGTATACGTTTGGAAGAACAAAAATTTAAAACTCAGTTTTAAAAATTAAGCCTGGAATTGTCCTTTAGAATACAACAGATAAGGGGAAAATTTAATGGAATGCAGCAACTAACAGGTATCAATCAACAAATATTTGAGTGTGTAACATAGGCAAGGCACTGTACTTGAAAGGAAAAGATCTCAACACTGAATTGTTTACTTTCTAATGTATAAACAACATAGCAGAGGATATTCCCTGGGGAGCTTGCTAAGGAAAATTCCACAAAGAAATTAGCGGGGGGGGGGGGGGAGTGGTAAAATTCTTTCTTCTAATGCCACAGCAATTAAAATTACGGATCTTGACTTGCTCCCGGCTGAATTGGTTGATCGCATATTCCAACAGGGCTTGGAAAACCAGTTTAACATTTTAGATATTCTGAGAGAGGTGACTTTCAGCTTTGTGACATGTGATTCCCAAGAGTCCATTTCCTCATTCCAATCAACTCCCTGTTTATTAAAGTGCGTTCTCTGGAACAGTAAAAAAAAATTTCACTGCAGGAAGTCATCCGATTCTGATAAGTTAACGTGTAGAATAAAGTTGATAGTGTTATGTATTACTAAGATAATTTGGTTAAGGGTTATATGGGTGTGTACCATTGGAGGAGGGACAGGCAAAGGGACTGTAGATAACTAAAGTGAAAAAGAGCTGATGCATTCAGAGCTTTTGTTGCTAAAGGTGAGATCAGTTACCTGCCTGCAACTGAAATTTCAAACTTCTGTTTAGCAGGGACATGAGTGCAAAATGGTGACTGATAGCTGGGGATATTAGCAGACCTCTTAAGTTTTATGCTCAACTAAAGGAGCAATGAATCAGGAGAATAAGTCATGTTTTTTTCGGCTCCTTGTGATTTTTACTTTTTTACCTAAAAGTACACCATCGTTTTTAATTGATGCCTATGTGACTGCGACTTACTACAATGAAACTAGCAACTACACCACAACAGAGACATGTGAATGTGGCGTTTATGGATTAGCTTCACCAGTGGCTAAGGCTGTGGGGGTGGTGGGCATCCCTAAGAACAACAACTACCAAGCTTGTGACTACAACACTGAGTTTACTAATACTAAGAAGCCCTGGATTGCGCTGATAGAAAGAGGTAATTGTACATTTTCAGAAAAAATTCAAACAGCAGGCAGAAGAAATGCGGATGCTGTTGTGATTTACAATGCTCCAGAGACTGGCAACCAGACAATACAAATGGCAAATTTTGGTAAGTCATAATTGATTCCCCAAAAGAGTTAATGTTTTGTTTATATTAAAATGATGTTTCCACCTAGAATTAGTTTGGGATCTGGTGATGAAGTTATAAAACAATTTTACCATACATTTTCTTATATGGTACCACTTAAAATTACTTTAGTATTATTCAGAATTTTTTAACTAATTTCTCCAAAAATGATAGCAATTCGTGAAGTGACTCCTATTTACTTTCAGGTTTTCTTAGCTCTGTTAGTTTCTTCGGCACAAATTACATAATTGTTCTTTAATAAACTGTGCCTTTATCTCTAAACATTTAAAAAATCTTAATTTAATTATTATTATTTGTACTTTTCCATTTCATTCATTTTGTCTTGCAAAAGGATTACATATATTCAAGTATGTGAAACTACAATACTGACTCATTATTATGATTTAACAATAGAATATTTTATGTGTGTAAAATGTTATAGAAATGAAAAATTGACTCTCCATTATATATGTAAGATTTTAACCTTTGGGAGGAACTAATATAAAACTGTTCTGTAAGAAATGTTTTTAATTTAAAAACATGGCAAAAATAGAGTGACACTGAAATTCACATCAAAGATAAAAATTTCCCTTAGAAATATTTACTAATATTTATTTTTTTATTAAATTCTTTTATTGGTACATTGTAGGTATACAACAAAATTACATTTCTCATTGGGAATTTAACCTTTGGGAGGAACTAATATAAAACTGTTCTGTAAGAAATGTTTTTAATTTAAAAACATGGCAAAAATAGAGTGACACTGAAATTCACAT